AAAGCATTCCAGGAAGAGGTAAAAACATATGCCAAGGCATGGAGCTATATGGGGACTCCATCATGACTTAGATGATACTGAAGCCAGCCTGAGTGCTGGATAGAAATAGACAAGGAAACCTGTTTTCCCATATGAGTTAGCATCAGCTTAGGACTGGATTGAGGTAGTATTCTTAAAATATTTGTTTAGAAGGGAATATTCATTTGAATTTCAGGCAGAAAAACAAAAATTCAGAGAATTGGATTTCCTAAGACTAGGAAAAGGTACACCCTGAAAAGTCCCAGGGCTAACCAATGAATACACTGCTTAGCCTTAGGACCCAACAGGAAACTCTTCAGAACCTACAAGCTGGTAGGTGGTAACTGCAGTGAATCACTGGAGTTTTCTCTATGGGAGATTCATAAACTTCAAAAACAACCAACCTACCCCTCCCCGCAAAAAAAGCCAGTTACTTAATGCTCTTAATGCTGTTTTAGTGAGAACCCCCACCCCCAAAGAGGAAACATTTCTTAAAGCCAAATAGAGATGACATATACTCATATATATATATATATATATATATATATATATATATATATATATACTTCACAAATTATAGCATGCTATCGAAATACAGAGTTGTTCCATATCTTCCACATTTGCTATAAGGCAAGAGGATGACCAGTTCACTCAAAGTATATGGACAAGAGTAATTTTGGCAGGGGGCTAGAATGTGGTTGCTTAAGGTGGCATAGAGTAGCAGTTGAGTTGATGCCTGGGAAAAGGCATACTCAACATTCATTATAGTAAAAACTCTGTAAAGCTGTATTTCTCCCTTACTGTCCCTGTTATTTATAGTAAATGATTAGAGAAATGCAGACTGATTCTGTGGGAACTTCTCAAGGGCAAGAACTCTCATATTTATACAGTATAGTGCTGGCAAGTAAGTAGCACTTAGTATGTATGTGGGTCTCTGAGGGGATTGTTGGAACTGGAGTGGAGGAGAATGGAGAGAGATACTATAATGGAAATAGCAATCATGTTTCCATCTGAACACTGATAATCTAGGTTTCTTGGTCCAAAGCTGATTAGCAATTCCTGTCAGAACTTGGTCATTAAGATTGAGGGGTGGGGCCTGGGGTGGGGCTCAGTGGTAGAGTGTTTGCCTGGTACATGTGAGGCACTGGGTTTGATCTTCAGCACCACATAAAAATAAATAAGATAAAGGTATTGTGTCCATCTACAACTAAAAAATATTAAAAAAAAAAAAACCAAAACCAAGATTGAGGGCAGAGTAGACAATGATATATTCCCATCAGAAATGAACAAGTCAGCCAGGTGTGATAGTGCAGGTCTGTAATTCCAGCAACTCAGGAAGGTGAGGCATGAGGGTCGAAAATTCAGGCCCAGCCTCTGCAACTTAGCAAGACCCTGTTACAAAATAAAATAAAAAGGGCTGGAGATGTAGCTCAGTGATAGACAGCCCCTAAATTCAATCTCCAAAACTGCAACAAATACCCGTTTCCCCAAAAAACCCCAAAGAAATTCATAAATCAATTTGGAAAATGAAGATAGCAGAAACCAAACAACATTGCTGGAGAGAAGCATGTGAGACTGAAAGATAATAGATTTTATAGCTAAAGAGATAGGAAACTATTTGCATAAATATGATCCATTTAGGAACGGGGAAAAAATGCAAAGAGCGAGGGAAATAGACCTCACTATTTGGTTTTACTATTCGTGTTCAAGGAAAAGGAAGCACTGTTAAAAATATGGCAACTATTGGAAAAAGAAAAACCATAAAAATGTGATCAGAAAATATGTGGAAGACCAAAGACTGAGAAATCCAGACAGTAAAATCCAGACACATTTTGTACATACTCCAATGAAACTGGGTGAGCCATTCTCTCTGTGTTTTTCTTTGGAGACAGCATTTTTGAGAAGATTAAGGCCACCTGGTAATTCCTTCACATACATTCTAAGATGATTTAATTTGCAGACTCATACTGTGATTAAAGGGGAGTTAGGAACTATTCTTAGACATTTTGAAATCTTAATGTTTATCCAATGCTAGACATCAGGAGATGGTATTCAAGGTCCAAGATTTGGGGAGCACTTAGATCAACCAAGCAATTTTTCTCCAGAGTCATGAGGGGTACAATACCAAGAGCCCTCAATAAAAAGCAATTTAGGAATAACACTGCAAGGAAAAAACTCTGAATTAGAGCAAAGATATTGTTTACAGACTTGATGCTTCTGATTTTCTTTACAAATAGTATATACCTTTGTTTATTTTGGTCTGTTAAGATGATGAGAGGGGTTTGAAATGAGAGGATTATAAACAACTTTATAATGGGGACATGGGAACCAATATAAACCTCTGTCAGAGTTTACTCCATTGAGCTGTGCAATAAGTACCACACCCATCCTTCAGGCAGCCATAAAATTAAAAAAACAACAACTTTCACTAGGTGAAGTAGGTTGTTCTGTCTCTTACTAACTGGGTATCTCAATATGTAATCCCAAGAGACTGAGGAAGCCAGTTTTATTAAAGGAGGATGTCTCTAGGTTTGGATCCGTGTAAGAGAAGAAGGGTAACAGGAAAAAATTTCCAGAATGGTTCTGTGGTCAATTTCATTGCTTGGCCCAGAGTCTATCCTGGGGCCCAAAATTAAATCCTTGGAATTCACCTGGAAGGAAAATGTTGAGGGGAACAAGACAAGGGGGTATCAATGTCAGATAGAGACACTTTGCTCCCTAGACAACAGATTCCCAATAAGCCTTCCTTAGCTCTCAATTTCCTGCCCTCCTCCTCTTCCTCATGCAGAGGCACAGTTGTACAAAAGTATCCTGAGTGGTCTTTAAGGATGAATGTCCACTGGTATGCAGACTGAGAAGGCCTAAACAATAGTGGGCAACACTCTTTCTTAAACATAATCATGTCTTTCCTTCCTCTTCCTGAAGAGTTCTTTGGCAGAGAAGATGGCCTCAGGACACTCCATCCTCTGAATTGTTTCTCTAGTTTCCCTGAATAAGTTCTGTCAAAGATCACACCAGAGGCCTTTCCTAGACCCAACCATGTCCAGAGCCACCTCCAGTATCATTACAGTGGGGCTGCCAATGAAGGAAGCCCCACACTGAAATCTGGGGATTCAGTTTCCACTCCTGTGGCAGTCTCATCTCCAGTCAAACTGTCCTCACACTTGTTTAATCATCATATTTATTGAGCATATAGTATTGCAAAGACCTATGCTTGGCACCTTAATGTAACTTATTAACAAACATTCATTCTTTCTTCTGCTTTTCCCTGGTTTTTTTTTTTTTTTTCAAACAAAATTTGAAGAACAGATCTCATGATTCCAAGCTTTGTGATCTTGGCAAATTGCTAAACCTCTATCAGTCTTGAGTATCTAAGGTTTCAGAGGGGATAATTTCATGATGCTGTTGTAAGGATTATATGAGATGTTTAAATATACCAGCATGGTGCCTGCCACACTGGTACTCAAAAATCCTTTGCATCCTTTATTTCTTCCTTCAAAGAACTTTCCTTTTAGGATGTGCCAAACTCAGTTATTTCACCCAATTATATTGCTTCTGGATGATCGGGCCCAAAGGCTCAGATCTATCTTTGCTTCAGAGGCTTGGCTGGTCCTCCTCTCCCTTGACCCCTGTGCTCTTATAGTAGCTTCTGCCTCCACTAAAGTCCAGCTTGGAGCCAAGTCCAGCTTGGAGCCAATTGGGTTTATCACCGAAAAATTCTAATAGAGGAAGGTAGAAGCAGGAAATGAACAACCACCAACAGCCCCAGAGTCCCCACCTCTGAACCATGTTGGGGGTGGGGGAATAAGTGAGATGGAGCCCCCTACAGGAGGTCAAGGCCAAAGTCCTTGGAGTAATGGGAAGTCACTCAAAGATCCCATGGCAGGATCCCCCTCTCCTCAGTCAGAGGTTCCTTCTCTGGGCAGCTCTAGGGCACAGTCTAAGATCCTTCTTCAGAGGCTTCTCTCTGGGATCCACCATGACCGCACAGGCTCCTGGGGGCTCCCTTATGTTCCCACAAGATCTTCCATGGAGTTAACTCCAGAGACCACCCTGGTGCTCACTCCCCAAATTTCTCAGGTCTCCCTAGGGACAGTGCCCTCTGCACTGGGGCTGGTGGCCTCCACACTAGGGCACCCCACGGCAGTAAGTGCACAGTGCCCTGGGCGTCTCCATCCACGCAAGGAGTCTCCCACGGGAGCGGTCACTCGGGGTTAATCCTTTTACAGAGGGACCCCCTTGGGGGCGCTCCCACACTGGCACCTCGAGAGAGTCCAAGGGGACAGTCCGGGCCCGCAGACCCGCCCCTTCGAGTGACGGCCCGGCCCCCGCCACCCCCGCCCCCGCTTACCGGGACCGTCCGGGTGCGGTACTCGGGTCCGGGGCTGGCGGACTCTACACCGCTGGTCCCGGGCTGCCCACGGCCGTTCGGGCGCTGAAGTGCTGGGCCAAGCGCCGGGAGCGGGCGGCGCGGGCGGCGCGGCAAGCTGAGGCGGCGACGCGCGCGCCCTGAGCACACCCACCGGCCCCGCGCGGCTGCGGCGCGTGCGCCCGTGCAAGGCCCTCGCCGGCCGGTGGGCGCGCGCCCCGCCCCGCCCTCCTGCGCCTGAGCGCGGCCTCGCGGCTCATCCCACGCGGTGGCGGCGGTGGAGTGCGACTGCGGCTCTGAAGAGCTGTCGGCCCAGGTGCCAGCCGGCGCCCCCTCGAGCGGCCGGCGCTGCGGCACCCGGACTGCGCCAGCCCCGCCGCCCGCCGCCCGCCGCCGCAAGGTCAGCGCCAACCCGCAGGAGGCGGCTTGGGAGGGGCAATGCGGGGGGCTGCGACCGCTCACCACTCCAGCTCGCACCAAGGGGTCTGAGTGGATGTTGCCACCAACACGTGCCTGGGGTGGGGAGAATGAATCATTTCGCTGTACCAACAAGCCACTCACCCAGGTTCTCTAGGATCACAACCCTGACATTAGGGCACTTACTTCGTGGTACCCATTGGCCTGCGAGTGTCTAAATGAGCCTTCACAAAGTCCTTGCTGGCCCAGCCAGCCTGTGCTCTATTTGCTGAGATTATTGTCTTCCAGCTTCAGCAGCAAAGCTGTGCTGTCACGTAACCCACTTTTTGCTGCAGCATCCTTATCACTCAGACTAACCAAACAGCCAGCTTGTCAGGAGGCCAACAGTTCTGAGGAGTATAGTGTGCATTACAACAAATCCTATGCTTTGAAAAGGCCTTCAGAAAGATCAAGTCATAAAACATCTAGCAATTAATTATAAGGAAATAACTGAAGATATGCACATATGCCCAGAACACTTTTATTTAAATTAATTGCATCTACATTTTTGACATGCCTTCATTTTCTTGTGCATTCAATTTATATAGCTCAAATGTAAATTTATATTATTTGTTGAACATCTAGTATTTTTCCCCACCTTGTTCCAGGTACTGTGGAAAATACATAGAGAAGCTAATTTTGTCTGGAATGTGGGATTTATCAATAGGGGTTTAAGGTAAGTATAACACTGTTAAAATTGCTATGCTATTACTTTAAAACACAAAGTGCCAGGTATTATTTTAAACACTTAAATATATTGTCACTGATTTTCACATCATCTCTTTGAGGGACTGTATTGTTAATTTCTTTTTGTATTATTATTTTTATTTTTTCTACTTAGTTGTACATGACAGCAGAATGCATTTCAATTCACTGTACACAAATGGAGCACAACATTTAAATTCTCCGGTTGAATGTGGTGTAGAGACACACCATTTGTGCAGTCATATATGTACCTAGGGTAATGCTGTCCATCTCATTCCACCATCTTTGTATTGTTAATTTCTACCTTTCTCTGCTAATGGAACTAAGCAACAGAGAAGTTAAACAACTTGCCTGAGGTCACATAGCTACTGTGTGATGGCAGTGAGATTGAAAACCTGGTATTCTGACTTCAGAGTCCGAGCTCCTAACCATTGAGAATGAATGCATGGAGTTCTAAAATTAGTACTTATTTTTGAGGAGCCACTATGTTTCTTTTCTTGTTAAACTAACACTAAAGATCAGACTTTCCATACATCTGTGGGTCCCCTAAATTTAAGAATTTTATTGGGCCAACAATTCCACAGGTAGGACTCTCCAAATTGTTTTTAGTGTTTTATTTTTAGGCTGTTTGCCTGCCTACATAGAAAAGGAAACTATAGTAATATTACCATAGAAGTTTCTGTTGGTTAATCCCTTCATTAAAAAACAAGGTGTATTGTGCATCTATAATATGCCAGGCATTATGCTGAGAATTAGAAGATGTGTAAATAAGAGTAAGACACAATACTTTCCCTTAAGGAGCTAATATCAATCTCAGGGATCTACTCTAATCATCTTATTTAATCTTAATCACTGCCAACTCAAAATACTGTAGTCAGATTAAGTTTCCATCCTCTTAGTCAACAATACAGATTAAATTTCAATAAGTGAAGCCTCAGGGATACTCAAGCCAAATCCAAACTGTAGCATCTTCTCAGAGCTTGTATCTTTAGTGCAACAATCCCTTTACCACTCATTCTGTCAACCCAAGTACAGAGTGGGGGTGTTCTTTGTTATTAGGACTGACATTTGAAAATCTTGATATGAGACTGCTATGGTAAAAATCAGGGAATCATAGCTTTCATTAAAGAGTTCATGGTTTTCCATTTGGAAATCTTTCTTTAACTTAAGAAATAATGATACTAGGACTTATATCCATTTATCCTCTCTTCCTTTCCTAAAGTCTCAGAATCCTCCTTATGTAGATGGTCAAATACTCCAACTGTGCCTTTGATTCTGTTTCCTTTTTCTCCTTGCTCTGCTTGATCTGTCCTTGTTTTGAATCTTAACCATTCTCCTTTTCTTATTGGCTTTTTTAAACTTTAGCCTATAAATCTCTCTTATCCTAAGAATATTTTTTCTATCGACTTCTTGTCCTACTCCAATGACTGTGTGCTATAGTTTGAATGTGTCCTTCTAAATTCATGTGTTGAAATATTAATTCCCCAATGCAGCAGTGTTGGGAGGTGGGACCCAATAAGTGGTAATTAGGTCAGAAGGGCTCTGTCCTCAAGAGTATATCAATGTAATTATCATGGGAGTGAGTTATAAAATCAAGTTCCAGTCCCCTTTTGCCTTTCTACCACAGGTTGATGTAACACCAAAGACCTTACTAAATGTTAATGCCATACTCTTGGACTTCCCAGCTTATAGAATCTTGAGCCAAATAAATTTCTGTTTATTAGAAATCACCTCATCTGGGTTATTCTGTTATAGCAGCCCCAAATGGACAAAGATATTACCTAATGTTTTTCATTTTTAAAACATACACACACACACACACACACACACACCCACACACACCCCTTATTGCTTAAAACATTTTGAGGTTTATAAAAAAGTTACAAAAATAGTACAGAGAATTCCCATAAAGTCCATACTATATCATTAACATCTTATATTAATTTCTATGACTCATTTGTTAATTACTTAATATTCATACCTATTATTAACTAAAGTCCACACTTTCTTCACATTTTCTTATATCTTCCTAATTTTTTTTTTCTGTTCAAGATCCTACTCAGGTTACAATGTTATATTAAGTCACCATGTCCCTAGGCTCTCTTGGCTGAGACATTTTCTCAGACTTGTTTATATTGGCCTTGATAATTTTGAGCACTACTAGTCTGGTATTTTGTAAAATCCTCCTTTATTGGGATTTATTTGATATTTTCCTCATGATTAGCTGGGGTTATAGATTATCAGGAAAAAGACGAAAGAGGCAAAGTATTGTCATTACATCATGTCATGGGACCTATGGCTTATCATGTTGAGGTTGACTTTGATCATCTGGCTAAGACAGTGTTCGTTAGGTTTTTCCACTGCGGTATTCTTCCCTCTCTCCTCGCCCCTCTTTGTCTTTCTGTAGTCTTTAGAAGGAAGTCACTATGCACAGTATACTTAGAGTAGAAAAGTTAGACTCCACTTCCTTGAGGATGGAGTATCTGAGTAAATAATTTAGAATTCTACATGGGAAATTTGCCTTTTCTACTTATTATATTCACTTTAAAAACTTATGTGCAATTGTATGGTAATAATAAAAATAATTTAAAAAACCAAAACTTATGTGCAATAAAAAGCACTCTTTTTGGTGTATATAGTTCTATGAATTTTTTCCAACAAAATGTTTACTTAAGAAAACTTCAAAATAGCACACACAACATATTAACATCTGTGTAAAACTTGCGTGCACATAATATTGATGCATAGAAATACAGTTTTAGTTGGGTTCCAGCATTTCTATGAATTTTGACAAACACGTTCAGTCATGTCATCACCACCAAAATCAAGATGTAGAACTATTCTTATTACCCTCAAAATTCTTTCATCCATTTCTTTTTGCCCAACTACTCCCCCGTTCATGACCCTTGGCAACCAATAAAAATTTTTCTATACCTATTGTTTTTCCTTTTTTGGAATGTTATATAAGTAGAATCATACAGTATGTAGCATTTTGGTTCTGGCATATTTTGTTATCATACATTTTAATTAATCTTATGTATATCATAAGTTCATTTCATATTAATGGAGGGTAGCATCCCATTGTATGGATGAACCAGTTTATCCATTCACCAGCTGAGGGACATTAGGGCTGTGTCTAGTGTCTAGTTTGTGGTGATTATAAATAAATTTACTAAAAACATTTATGTACAGGTAATATGTATAGTAACTTTTATTTCGCCTGGGTGAATATGATTGCTAGTGGTATGGTAAACGTATGTGTGACTTTACAAGGAACTTGCAGAGTGTTTCCAAAGTGGATATATCATTTTTCATCCCAATCAGCAATGTCTGAGTGTTACAGTTGTTCTACAATCTCTCCAGGACTTAGTATGAGCAACTTTTCATTTTATTTTGTTTTTATCCATTGTAACAAGTAGAAATGGGTATCTCATTGATTTTTACTAAATTTTTATATTGATTAATAATGTTGCACTTTCCCCTCTGTGCTTATTTGCCATCTGTTTAATCTTTTTGATAAAATGCCTATTAAATTCTTTATGCCTGTTTTAAAAAATTTGGATTTTGTTTTGTCATTGAATTTTGAGAGTTCTTTATATATTCCAGATCAAATTCTTTTTCAGTTATGTAATTTGCAAAAATTTTCTGCCAATCTCTGGCTTGTTCTTTAATTCTATCGACAGTATATTTTGTAGAACAGTGTTTTAATTTCATTAATTCCAATTTATTAATTTTTTCTTTTATAGATTGTGCTCTTTATGCTGCCTAAGATCACAAGATTTTTCCTTATGTTTTATAAGAAGACTTTTATAGTTTTATTGTTTACATTTAGGTCTATCTGTGATATGTTTTAAATTAATTTCTGCATAATGCATGAGATATGATTGATTTTCTTTATTTTGTATATGATGTCCAATTGTTCCAGCACTTTTTGTTGAAATGACTTTTCTTCATTGACTTTTGCCTCTGTACCTTTGTCAGAATTCAGTTGGCCATTATCATAGGCATTTACATATGTCCAAACCCATCAACTGTACATATTAAATGTGTTCAATTACTTTTATATCAGTAAAAATTATTTATTCTTTTTATACCTCAATAAAACTGATAAAGAATTAATTGATTATATTTGTGCAGGTCTGATTCTGGATTGCGATATTTTGGGTTTTGTCCATGGTTCTTTGCTTATAACTTCCTCCCCCAAATGGGAAACTTTAATCTTCTGCTTTTAGCTAGCTATAAAGAAACTCTCTGATGTACCTTGTCTGATGTAAACCCCACCTCATTTTAGAGGGGTTCTACCTCTCATTCTGGAGGAGGGAATGCTTCACAGAGAGACCAAGAAGAATCTGGACAGATAGGCCTTGCTGGTTTCCTTACCAAATTTATTAGCTATCATGCCTAAGCAACAAGTTTCCATAAAAAAACAAAATGACAGGGTTTGAAGAGCTTCTATATAGATGAACATGTGAAGGCTTACAGGAAGGTGAACCAGGACTTGTACATGTGCCAGGAGGATGGTGTACCCCAACTCCACAGGATAGAAACTCCTGTACTCAGGACTCTTCCAGGCCTTGCCCTATGTATCTTTCCATCTAGCTACTTTTTTTTGTATCCTTTAAAACATCCTTTATAATAAACTGGAAA